ATGAGAAGTTCAGAATTTAACATAAAAGTCACTCAGACTTTATAAATTCATATCTTACCGAAGACCCACATAATCTTAGTTCTGAAAAGCATACGCAGAAGTTATTCAGACGCAGACGCAGACACAAAATATCTTCAGATGCAGATGCAGACGCAAAATATCTTTAGACGCAAACGCAAAACTCAGAACGAAAAATAACAGCTAGTGATCTGATATGGATTTCACAGAAAGAAAGTTTTGATTGTCTCAATCTCAGTCTAATTGATTGACAATCAAATACTATGACAAATATGCATTATAACGGATAAAGCTCTACTTATGGAAATCAAGATTCTGATTGTATGGGCAATCAGAATCAGCGGAATTCAGACTCTGTCATCCAACGGCTACTCAATTCTTTTTATACAAATCTGTCCAAGGTGAAGATTGGAAGATGATCCTCTGAAAGCTGTCCAACGGTTAGTTTGGAAGTTGAGGAGTATTTAAGGAGATCAACGAGCAGCAAAAGGAAGTACAGAATCAAGAATCAATAAGTCCAAAGTCTGAGCATACTCCGATCATTTCTCTTGTTTTTCTTGAGCCAAAACATTAAGATCTTGAGGGATACTTTATAAGAGTGATTGTGTGAGATAGAGAGTCCTATCACACACAAGAGTGCTGTCACTCAAAAGTTGTAATTCCTCTTGATTACATAGTGAAATCCAGCCGGTAGACTGTCAGCGTAGGAGAGTGGACGTAGGCTTGCTATAAGCCGAACCACTATAAACTTGTGTGCAGTTTTTCTATCATTTATCTCTTACTTTACACACTGCACATTAAGAGCACTGTTTATATAAACTGTTTTGAATCTGAATTTTATTCAGACTCAACTGTGATCTTTCATTTCCGCGTAAATTGATAAAAATTGTTTAAGATCACCTATTCACCCCCCTCTAGGTGATCCTTGCTAGCTACATCACTTACAAATATCATAGTCAATTTACATAAGTTTTCCATCAACCTAGATAAGGATGCTCGAAGTCTACATTGAGTTCCATGTCATTAGAAATTACTACATTAAATTATTTAGAATTGATTTGCAAACGAGGACTTCAATCCACTTAAATATTTTATTGAGTTGTTGGGTATTTGACTATTTAACTACTAATTTTGTTAGTAATTTGGTATTTTCGTCCCTCTCCTTCATATACAAGTTTTTTATTTGATTATATATCTAATCAACATTGGCATAATTAAAGTGCAATATGTAGATAGTTGTTTTGGGTCTAATCAAAATTCGGAACCCTTCTTTTCCATGACATGATAGATAAATAGATACATAAGCCCCATTATTATCTCGTGACCTAGGTTATTTGTCGATAAATCCATAAATGATTAGTTATTTATGAGGAGATCAGTGAGTTTTGTATTGAAAAATCCTAACATTATTGGATTTAATCTCTGTACTTAGAATGAAAGGCAAACATTTGTTAAATGTAGAAACTTATATAGATAGCTATGTAAAAGACATCTCTAATACACTAATTATTAAATGAAATCTACCTAAAGTTTTATAAGATAATGACAAATGATTACTGAAAACCTAAATTGAGAACCTAATTTGGCAGGAGGATGATGGTCCACACTCGTCTTTTGCATGTGCGTGTATGTATTTCTGGGGAAGACAAGATCAAAAGATGGACCGACCGGACAAGCAACAATAATCAAAGTTGATCTTTCAATGTGAATGGTGTTTATAAAGCTCTGGTCAAATTAAGGTTTTCTAGAAAAAGGTTGTGAGAAAATTTCTGGTTATATATTGTGGGCCGGTTGTAAAAACTTGACAGTTTATCATACACATGGTGAATTATTTGCTGAATTCATTATTTAACTTAGGTACAGAGATAGGATGGCCCAAAAAGCCATAAGGTCCATGACCATGTCGTTGAGGAATCCCAGCACAAGACTTTGGCTTGCCACTCCCCCGGCGGCGACAATGGCAGCTCAAGCTTCGGTGATTTCGATGAGCGACGAGATGCGACAAATTAGCTTACGCCACCAAGCTATTAGGGTTAGTACCAGAGATGAGAAAGATCGAAAGCTGTCGGAATGAACCTTGCTGGACGTCAGTGGTAGGCCGCAAAGGCGGCAACCATCAGGAGGTGATAGGTACTACAAAAACAAGCGAACCCAACGCAAAAATAATGTCCAAACTGAGTCTACTAGTTTTGACATAGTGTAAACAGATGAACACAAGTATAAACTCGGAAACATGTCTAAGGTGCACATCACAAAAAAATGCAACGCAGAAGATCTCTCGAAAGTCTGTAAGCTCTTTTTCTGCGAAAAGAGGATTGCATCTCATATTGAACAAAACAAATTAAGGATCTTGACCGGCCAAAAGTAGACATGTTTTGAACCCTAAAAAGAAGGGGATTCAAGTACCAGGACGGTTTTGAACCACAAAAAAGAAGAAGAAGAAGAGGGGCGGTTTTGATTTCAAAATATAAGTAGAGGGATCAATGATGACAATTCATCGGTCAAGAAATAACAAAAGCAAGAGAACAAATTGTCGAAAAAGGCCCAATAGAAACCCCAAAACGTATCCAATCAAAGCTTAATGAGAATTACAACGAGTCCGACAGAATTAAACATACTCTTCGACACGTGCTACTAGCAATGTTAGGAATACTGAAAGTTGCTTGCTAAGTTGGCTTGTTAAGTGATGTGGTACATTTTGTAAATGGTTATCTAAATTAATTTGCTCGTTTAAGCAAACATAGATTTGCACATTATTGAATTTAGGGATAAGTGCCGTAAAAGTCTTAAAACTTGTTGCGAAAGTGCAATTGAGTCCTAAAACTTTCAAAAAATGCAATCAAGTCCTAAAACTTGTCATGAAAGTGCAATCGAGTTCTAAAACTTTTACAAAATGCAATCAAATCCTAAAACTTGTCAAATTGATGCAATTAAGTTCTTCAGTTAACACCATCAATTTATTTAATGAAAAATGCTACTGTGGCATTTTTAATTACTTTCTCTCTCCTATGTGGCATTTATTATTATTATTTTCGTCAAATTTGATTTTCATTAGACTAAAAAATTTAATAAAAAGCTAAAATTTTATTTTTAAAAAAAAGTGAAAAGAAAGAAGAAAATGGCAAGGTAGGGCCGGGCTTTGTCGGTGGGCGCTATCGCCGCCGCCCATTGCCGAAGGAGCCAGTGGTGGTCGCCGGCCCTGGGCGAGGCTGCCCGGTCCTCGCCAGACCCGAGCAAGGCGTTGCCGGCCTCGGGTGAAGGCGTCTAGATCTGGGCAACGCCGGCCCTCCCCTGGGATCGGCGACCATCGCTCACCCTGGGCGAGGCGTCGCCGGCCTCACCCGAGGCAGGTGAGGCTCGCCTGCCCCAAATAAAGGCCAGCGTCGCCTAGATCTGGGCGCCCTTGACCCAGTTATGAGCGAGCCTCGCCAGGCCTAGCGAGGTTCGCCAGCCCTCGCCCGAGGCCGGCGACTCCGCGCCCATGGCGAGCGACGGTCGACGGCCCCAGGGGAGGGTCGGCGTCGCCTAGATCTAGGCGCCCTCACCTAGGGCTAGCAAGGCCCGACCAGCCTCGTCCCAGGCCAGTGACCTCCGCCAACTCCTCTGACGATGGGCAGCGATGGCGCCCACTAGCAAGGCCCTGCCCTGCCCTGCCATTTTTTTTTTCAGTTTTGTTTTTTAAATAAAATTTTAGCTTTTTTATTAAATTTTTTAATCCAATGAAAATCATATTTGAAGAAAATAAAAATTAAAAAATGCCACTTAGGAGAGAGAAAGTAATTAAAAATGCCACGTCAGCATTTTTTATTAAATAAATTGATGATGTTAACTCAAGGATTTAATTGCATCAATTTGACAAGTTTTAGGACTTGATTGCACTTTATCAAAGTTTGAGGACTCGATTGCACTTTCGTGACAAGTTTTAGTATTTGATTGTACTTTTTGAAAGTTTTAGAACTCAATTGCACTTTCGTGATAAGTTTTAAAATTTCTAGTACATTTATCCCTTGAATTTAATAGATGAGTCTTAGTATATTTCTCGCACACTCTCCTACCATGGAGGATCGCATCTACTCATCTTGTCCTTAAAATGAGTCACATTTAAGAACTTCTAGGTGCTCACAAACTTTTTCTCACTATGCCGTCGTCAGCTATTACACTGAATGAAAAGTAACTCTACTTCAACAACCCAGCTTCTCATCACCGTCAAAAAGGGAAGAAAAACACTACCCGAGCAATACAAAGAACGCAAAGTTCACGAGAAAACATAACTCTTTGGCTCCTTTAGATCTCACAGTTGAAGGAGGAGCAGCAGCTACAACCGCTGCAGGTGGCGGAGCAAGTGTCGGTGCCGGTGCCTGTGCCGGTGCTTCGTGGAAGACAGTCTCATTATAGAACTTGTAAAGCTCAAACCTAACATTGCAGCTCAGGGCCAAGACTCTCCCTCCTTCCTTATCGCTCGGCAGATTATCGATGGTTGCTTGCAAGCACGACTTGCAATCCGCCGCCGTCAAGTCCGGCGTGCACTGTGCGAGCGTGTACAGCCGATTTGAGCTCATGATGTCGGCATCCTTGATGGAAAACCTCTTCCCGAACCCATCGCTCGCCGCCCTCTCCGCCAATTCATCGGTCGTGTCCTTCAGCAACTGGGTGAAGCTGCTAGGGTTTGAAATGTTGACCGTGTTCATCAATATGAAGGATGGTGACTCTTGCTTGACGGAGAAAATGGATTGGTTCGAGTAACGCAGCATGCACTCATCATACCAAATGATGGAGTCTTTCTGTTTTGGGCATTTGTGGAGTCTTTCTCTTTTGGGCATTTATAGAGTATTTCCTTGCTCGCGTTTGCCACGCAATCGCCACAAGTGGCGGTGGTAATGTCGCCAAGGCAGAGGAATATGTTGAAGATACCATTGCCGATGCTGATTGTTGAAGATATCATTGCCGATGCTGATTGATCTTAATTGATCTTGAATGCTACATTGGTGGAAAATTAGAATATTGCATATCAGGCAATCTTAGGGAATCTTTTTTTCTTTATTATGTATATTTTCTTTCCCTAATCATCTAGACTTCTTGTACTATAAATAGGGCTGTAATTACACATTGTTATGTATGAAAGCAATACACAATTCCAATCTTCAATCGCTTTCCATCCTCTAAACTTTTGACATGGTATCATAGCCTCCCTACTTAGCCTAGCTTCCGCATTTCAACACTTCCGCATGCCAACATCCTGCATTTTCAAAGGGAGATATCATGCCGAGAAACCAAAGTTCAAAATCTGGTGAACACCAAGACTCTGAAGCGTCTTTCAACAATCAAAGAATAGATTATACTTCTACAGAGCATCAACCAGATTCAACAATAGAAGAACAAGACCACACATGACCCAATGAGGGACTGTCGGGTCCTGTACAGCCCATTTCGGGGCCCATTCAATCTAACCCTGGACATTTTTTTTCAGACCCATATGTTCAATGGGTTGTTCCTGTGCAGGTTCAACCCGTCCAGGGTCAAACAAACCAGAGAAGCCTGGTCCAGAATCTCATCCCCATGGAGCATGGTGAAAACAACGGGCCAGGAGGAGGCCCACCACTAGTCACCGAGCCCATTTCAGGGTATGGATCGGGTTGGTCTTTTTCGGGCCAAAATGGATCGGGTCTGTCGGGTTTCGGAGGAAATCCCTACCCGATGTACGGACCCGATTTTCTTCCGTTTGGGGGTCTCGCCGGCGAACGGCCAAAACCCGGCGATCCCCTATATACGTCCGCCACCGATGGACCCGAACTCCGCCTCATCGTCCAGTAGCTCTCGGGACCGGAAAACTATTCTGTGTGGTCCCGCGAGCTCCAGCGAGCGTTGATTACCAAAGACAAAGAAGGCTTTATTGATGGCACCATCCCAATCCCGATCGACGATCGACTTGCACGGCAATGGAGGAAATGCAATCAACTCGTGCGGACCTGGATAGGGAACTATCTCACACCAGAGGTCGCCGACGGACTTCCTCCAACCGAAGACGCGAAGAGAATATTGGAAAATTTGCGAGAAATGTACGGGAAACTTGATAGGGTTAAAATTTTCTCACTAACTCAAGCCCTAACAGACCTCAAACAAGGAAATCTGTCGATTTTTGTCATTTTCAACCGGTTGTCCGTACTGTGGAACGAACTCGAAATGGCAAAGGAAAAATTGGAAGGACCCGAGACCACATTGGCTCAATATCGAGCCATGAAAGAACGGGAAAAGGTAACACGATTTTTGCTTATTCTAAATGAATCGTACTTACCGTTTTGGAGCCAGATCTTGGCCATGGAACCCGTCCCCTCGCTCGGCCGAATATACCAACTTGCGGTTCAGGAGGAATCTCAATGATTGGCCTCGTCGGAGTATGTTAAAGTGGGTGATCGCGTTGTTCTCGCAGCCAAGGCCTCGCCGGAGCAACGACCACTCTTGTCGAGGTCCAGCCATGGAGGCTCACGAAACCCAATAGGGTTTCTCGAGGATCAAGAAGATGGAATGTCTTCTTTTCCAGCGAACATCCATGATTTGTTCACTAAATCGGACGGCCCAGAATACACTCGACTCTCACATCAAACGAACAGGCATGATTTCATCATGGGATCAGATGGTGGAGGTTCTTCAGCGAGATTAGATGGTCCATCTTTAATTCTCGCCATGCCCAAATCAGATGGCGCACATCATGCCACGTCATCACCTGCCTGGAAAGGATCTCGTCGCCCAAATTCTGCCACATCATCAAACAAAGGCAATTCCAACAAAGGAAAAGGTAAATTTTGCGATTATTGCAAATGTCCCTATCACACTGAAGAAGATTGTTGGAAATTGCATAGGAAGCCGACAGATAAAAAGGAACGAGATATCTCCGTCGCAGCACATGCCAAGGTCAACCAGCCCATTAATAATGATCAGTTTCAACAAATTATGAGGGCTTTAAATCAGATGGGAATACAAGACAAAACGGCCAGTTATTGAGGTATTTCCTATTGTTTGATGAGCGCCATTTCGAAAAAGGCATGGATTATTGATTCAGGTACTAGTGACCATATAGTCTGCGATGAACGTTTCTTTTTCAAAATTAACAAGTCTTCCCCTCATACCTCCATACGTCTTCCAAATGGAAGTGACACTTCCGTCGCTAAAATTGGAAATGTTCAGCTAAATTCTTCCATCACACTCAAAGTCATTCTATTCATTCCAGATTTTCACTTTAATCTCATTTCCGTGTCCAAACTTTGTGAAGACAACTCATGTCGGGTCTTCTTTGATTCTGATGTCTGTCTCTTTCAAGCCCTTTCGACTGGGACACTGATGGGCTTGGGTAAAAATCACGAGGGACTCTATTTTTGGGCCACATTTCCCAAAAATTTTGATGTTGCATCTTTTCCTTTAAATAAAAACATCTTATGTAATGCCCATAATAATAATAATGTTCCTTTATTCCATGGGCAAATGGATACCTGCATCTTCATCCTTCCCATAGATAACAACGAGCTTGAGATGTTACCAAAAATTGAAGCAACCAGTTCAACTATCTCAGCTTGTGATTCTGATGGGGCCGATGGAGTGCTTTCCATAGCATCCTGTGAACATGAGGCTAATGTATGGGCTGAAGATGCTGATGCTATTGCTGCCGCCACTGATGCTATTGATGGTTTATTGCAATGATACTGTTATGGCCTAATCGGCCACATTTTCCACAAGTGATTGTAGTATTATGTCTCTTCAACTTTGTTCCCATAGGCTCTTGCATAACTTTCTTCTTTCTTGTCTTCAAATTTTTATGAGTTGTTTCATCCATTGACTTTGTTCTTTGTTTCTTCTTTCTACCAACTTGCTTGGGCACATATGGTGGAAGTAATGACTCTCTAGCAGGCCACGTGTTTTTAGAATCTATAACATGCACAACATGGCTATAAGTTTGCATGAATGTTTCCTTAGTGAAACTTGCGTGAACCCTTTTTTCAGGCTCTTCCCTCATGTATATAAGAGCCGCCACAACATGACAACAAGGGATTCCGTTAATGTCCCATCTTCTACAGCTACAAGATCTATGTCTAATATTAACAATTCTCTTGTCTCCATATGGCCCACTCAGTTCAAATTCATCCTCCCCATTCCAGGTAGGAATACATGATGCTGAAAACTGTTTTTGAAGATCTAATATCTTCTGGATATTAGGACATATTACACTAGTGTACTTAGCCATCCCATCCCTTCGCTTATGAATTCTCTCCATGAGATGTACTCTTATAGCTTTAAGCGTTGTGATGATAGGCTTGTCCCTAGCATCAATAATGCTTTTGTTGAAGCTTTCACACCAATTGTTCAAAGAAATGTCACATTTTGAGCTTGTCCTGAAGTAGGACTTGCTCCATTGCACTGGAGGCCTCTGGGACAACCAATCATAAGCTTTGGCATCAACTACCTTCAACTCTTCCATTGCCAAGTCAAAATCAAATACCCCGGTTGCCATGGCAGCCTTCCAAAGAAGCTTTTTAAGTTCTACTCCTTTGTGATGCAGTTTGAAGTTCTCATAAAGATGCCTTAAACAAAATCTATGTTCTGCTTCAGGCATTAAATTTTCTAGTGCTTGCACCAATCCCTTCTATTTGTCACACAAGAAAGTCCAGTATTTTGAGTTTTCAAGGTTCGTAATCCCCAAGTCTTCTATAATCAAACTAATAAACCAATGCCATGTCTTGTATGTTTCTTGTCCAACAACTGCACATGCAAAGGGATACATCTGATCGTTGCCATCCATGCCCACCGCTGCTAGAAGTATACCCCTATAGCCTAATGACAAATGGCAACCATCAAACTCCATAAAATGCCTACATCCTTCTAGAAAGCCCTTCCTTAATGCATCCAGACAAATGTAAACTCCTCTAAACTTGAATTGGTCTTGACATTGCTCGATCTTAATCATACATGTAGATCTTGGATTGGTATCCAGAAGTTCTTGACAATAGCTCCTAAGCATCCCAAATTGGTCCTCCTCATTTCCGGTGATCATGCTCATTGCCGTTGCCTTAGCTTTGTAAACCATTGTGTTTGACAACTTCAAAATATTGTCTGGCTCCATTGTTTTTTTTATTGAAGCACCCGGCCATGTAGGATTGTTTCTCAACCTATCACAGTACTTGTTTGCTAGCCATTTAGTGCTTATTTGAGGAACATGTAAAGTTCTATTACATGTATGTATGGGATTGAAGGTTTTCACTTGTAAAGTATGCTCCCTTTGCACTTTGGAAGCATATATAAGCCAATCACAACCCTCAGAACACACCACCCTCAACTTCTTAGGTGTGTTCTTAACAAACCTCACCTTTCTCCCATTTTTTTATGGTATGGTTCCTAACGGCCTTTCTAAACTCCTCAGCATTACTAAAACACATCCCCAACTTGAAGACAGGATTTTCCGTATCAACCTCAGCATTGAACTCGGGATATGTATACTCATTTTCGCTATTCATATTCAAGAAGTTTGTATTATCAGCAATAACACCAACATACAAACTAATGTTGCCCCCATCTCTCTCTATTGAACCATCACCGTCAGCATACCTTACATTTCTTATGTATAACTCATCGAGATCAGTAAAGGCAAACCCATCTTCTTCATCCCCCTCAGCAACCTTATCACAGTTCACTTCTTCGCATCCCTCAACTGGTGCAAAAAGGAAGCAAAAATGACGTCAATATATTTCCATGCAAAAAACAAAACAAAAACAGTAAAAAGTTGCAATAAATTTGTACCATGCTATGATTAATGAAAGAAAACTAGTTCCACTAATGACTACGTAACACACTTTTATTGGATACCGTTTGTCACAAAATATTGTGCATTATGGACTTAAAATGTTTTTTGTGCTAGTTGTTTGATAATATATATTCAGATTCGTGTGCGCACAAAAGTGCCACCGTTATAGTGACGGACCTTATCCTTGGCATGGTCAATGACCACCTCCGGTGCAAGAGCTCAAAAACCAACACTTTTTATTGATATAGTGAGTGATTTTGGTCAATGTACTAGAGCTCAAAAACCATAAAAAGGAGAGCATTTAAAAAATATACACCAAGCAAAAACATATTGAGTGATTTTTGGCCGTTAACGACAAAATGTACACCAGGAAAAAACAAAATGAGAGCATTAAAAAATTGCAAAACGGGGACCAATACCACCGTCACGTAGGACCACAACAACAGTATATCCAGTTAGAAAAATGCACAGTGGACGTAACTCATAGGAGACATTCGCCTAGAAATTCGACATAACAAGCAAAAATAATACTATAAAACAAAAAATATTTCTCCTACCATCATTTTCCTCGCTGCCATTCGTGTGATATTCAACCACATGTCCACACCTTGCAGACATGTTGCCTTAACAAGCTGCAATCCCTTTTCTCTTGGACAAACGAAGAATCGTTTGCATCAATTTGAACGAAACTCAGTTGAACGTGAGTGTCGTCTTCTTTGGAAAATAATGAAGACAAAAAAGAAAGAAATATTTGGGTGCTCTACCAACGAAGACGTGAAGAAATGAAGAAAGAAGCTTGGGGTTTCTTGTTTTGGTTTCAAATCGTGCTCCACCACCGAACAATTTGGGTGCTTGAAGGAGCAGGAAGAAGAACGGAAGAAACATTTGCTTTAATTTGGGGTTTTTTTTGTTTTAGGGTTTCTTAGTTTATGCCCAATTTCTTTTGACAAAAATGTCCCTACTCCGGTCGCCGGAAATGTCACATGCTCGCCGGTCGGTGAATATTTGACCGACCGGCAAGCTGAGATCCTTATTTGATATTGATATAGCAACTCCAAATCTTTATTTGATATAATATCCATTTTAAATTTTTATTTAAGAGAAGAGCTCCATTTTAGATTCTTATTTGACATTTTTTTTTTTGGTGTGAATGTAGGTATTATAAACCAGATGAAGTATAGCAGCTTAGGGGCATCCCCCAGCAATACAAAAAGTGCTAATAATTCAAAAAGATGGAGGTAGGAAGTCTCCATATAGTAGCTAATACAACATTTGTTTGGGAAGGTCTAATTTTTTGGTAGAGCGAAGCTCTACCTCTGACATTTTTACGAACCTTAGCCAAAAGAATATGAAAGTCAGTTGACTTGTTTTGAAATCGTCTGCTGTTGCGCTCCATCCAAATGCAATATATGGTTGCTAGAAAGGACAACTTGAGGAGTCTTGCTGCCAAGTCTTTGCCTTTTGTTGCCCTAATCATCCATTGAAGTTCTTCATTCCATCCTCCTAAAAGGCGCCTGATCCCATGTTGTGCTAGGATACAACGCCATATGTTGTTTGTCCATTCACACTCGAAGAATAAATGTGTTTTGTCTTCAATACCAGCCCTACAGAAATTACACTGAATATCAACTGAAGGTATCCATTGTGCGACGATTCTTGCTGTAGGTAGTCTATCTCTGCAAACTAGCCAACCAATAAAATTGTGTTTGCTAATGCCGCTGGTCCAAATTAGGTTATACCACTCCACAGCTGGTCGCACATGTCTGAGTTCATCATATATATATCTTGGCAACAGTATTTTGGGCTCGGTATAATCGATGTTAGAACGAGTCTTAGTTTGAGGAGACATCTCCAGCTCCAAGCCATACTGCCCTTGATGTCGAGCTGCATAATTGGGGTGCCTCTGCATTTGGTGTTGTAGACCCAAGTACTCCAAAGGGAGGAGGATGGAAGATTGATAAGATTCCACAGCATGCGACCTAGCAATACTTTGTTCCATAAGTTCAAATTAGGTAATCCTAATCCTCCTTCCCTTTTAGGTGAGCATACTACTTGCCACGCAACCTTGTGCGAGCCATGATTTGCTGAATTACCAGCCCATAAGAATTGTCTAATCTTCTTCTCAACCTCGTATATAGTGTGCTTTGGAAGTAGGAACATTTGCATCCAATAGGTGCATATGGAGATGAGGACTGATTTGGCTAACTGTAGACGTCCTGCATAACTGATATGCTTCATGCCCCAATTTTCAATTTTCTTGAAGATATTATCGGTAAGACTCTTACAGTCTGTGTGGGTAAGTCTTCTGGTAACAAGGGGGATACCCAAGTATCTGATGGGGAGGGTACCTGTAGAAAAAGGCGTGTGGTCCAGTATAAGTTGCTTCTCATCCTCATTCAACCCAGAGAAAAAGATTTGACATTTGTCCGGGTTGAAACGCAATCCTGTGAGAGTTGCAAATTCGTTTAGGGCGTCTACAAGGCAAAGGACGGAATCTACATCTCCATGGGAAAATAATAACAAGTCGTCTGCGAAGCATACGTGTGTGATTCGTTGCGTTTTGCAACGCCAGTGATAC